CCCCCCCCCCCCAAACTTCGCTCCCAACCCTGTCCATACAGAGAGAGAGAGACTAGAGCAGGTTATGGAGATGAATACTCATGAAGGCGAATATTCACATGCTGGTTCACCGAAATGACAGGTTCGGCGTAAGCTGAGGTTGGTGATAGGGAGAATGAATGGATAGAAAGTAAATTATCATACATTGTCGATGCACCAAAAAAATTATCAACATTTTAGTAAACTATCTTGGATGGTTTGCATTTAACTCATGGTTACTTGTGACCGGTGGTATGGGATAATTTATATTTATTGATCTGAACTGACTATCCTTCGGATAACCCCTTCACGCACAATCCTCAGTTAATCCAGTCTAACATACACTCGAAAGCACTAGAAGCGACTTTTGCTCCTATTAGAGCTCATCAGTGGGGCTAATGGCCGTTCTGCCCAGGATTTGAACTCCGGACCCATCGCATGCAACGTGTGTGTTACCACCGTGCCAACCAAGAGGGGACGTTGGACATGCACTGCTGATGAGCTCTATAAAGAGTAAAACTGGAGTCTGTAGTGCTTCTTAGTGTATGGTTGACTGGATGAACTGAGAATTATACGTGAAGGTGAAATCCGAAGGATAGTTAGTACAAATCAATATCCTGGATATATGTATATATAACACCGGCTTGTAGACAAGCATCGTGCCAACGCTACGACAATAATAGGGGGCAGGTGGACTGGAATACAGAACACAGTGGAAAGAAGGTGAAACAGTTAAACACGGGAAAATGAAAGATAACTGGGATAACAAAATTCCTTTTCTGTGTTTCACCGTACACGTTTTGATATGTTTGTGTTTGTTGTTTTTTAAGGGGCATAGGATTTCGACAAGCAGACCGTACAGCATTCGCGCCATTGACTTATATGCTGGACCATATCTCTCACGTCCCTAACCAACGATAATCCACATCCCTTGGGTCCCAACCTGGAAGGCAGGCTGCACTAACCGAGGACAGCTTCTTCACACCTCTACGCCATGTCATGGTCTGACCGCCGCGACACTTCTTCCAGCCTTGCCCGGCACGTGCAAAGAGAGCACGGAAAGGTAGTTGATGAGCAGGCATACGCAATACGTGACCAAGGTATCGGAGGCGGTGTCGAGCGATTACTTCTGTTAGAGAACGATTATCCGCAGCCAACACACGACGAGGAACCTCGTCATTACTCACCCGATATTCCCACCAGACACGAGAAATGCTTCGAAGACATCGGTGGTCGAATACAGAAAGTCGATTAGCATCCTCAACGCGGAGGGGCCAGGTC